TTGAATGAACACACTTATGATTAGGTACTCAAATGTAAAACGACTAACTGTATTCCGCTTGCCTTTTGCTTGTGTTTTTATCATTACACATGTAATTATTTCCTCCGCGCTGCAGTTAAATTCGATGTGGTCTGAGTCTCCATTGGGCCGGAATATTTAAAAGTTAAAACGTTTACTCAATCATCAAATTAAAAATAGCTGCTGTGAAAATTACACATTTTTATTTCTGTCTAGTTTCGATTAGCTACTTATTCGTAAGTGTGAAAGATGGTTAAATTTTCTTATTTTATTTCTAAGTACCTACAAACTGTTTGTTAAGTACAAGTACAAGTACTTGATATACCTGAACAAATGGCGGCAGTTGTTACCTGTGAGTTTACGACTGCAAACTGCGGAGATAACCGCTCAAATTCCAAGAAGCAGCGACTGAAATCGTAAAAGACTAGAGATGAAAATTTCGTATTTTGTTGTGCATCATTTTCTTTAATTTACAAGTAAAGGGAAATTTTACATCAGTTACGAGTACATGCGAATATAGTTATTAGCATGTAAAATGCGCGAAATTGAAAATTTCATTGTTTTCATGTATTATTTTCTTGTTTCTAAAAGTTTAAATATTAAGTACTTGGGCTTGCATACATATATTTTAAACTTGCAGTTTTCTGTAAAACAACTTTCTTATATTTTACTGGTATAATTTCGCAGTTATCAAGGATTTTAACAACTTATGAGTGAAATAAAAAGTTCAGCGTCACATTTTAAAACTATTTATAAAATCGTCTTTGATAAGTAGTAAAATAATTACATACTGCAAAATTAATTGCACTATCTTTATTAATTTAGTTTTATGTTCCCATTAAGTTTGTAATATGGAACGAGTAGTATAACTATGCCGGTTCTGGCACATGCAAATCCAGGAAACAATCGCCATCTTAATCGACGAGCGTTTGTGATTTATTAGCGCGCATAAATAATCCGCCACTCGACTTCCTTGTATGACTTGATTCGGATGCTTGCGCAAACAGCATCCAAGATTGCGAATCTGAATTGAATTCCTCTCGACGTCAAACTCAAACATTTTGAAGGCCTACAACTTTTTGCGCAGAGTATTTTTAGAGTTTAAGCAGGACTTAACTTTGAATGAAATGTTACATAAAGGAAGTCAGCTTTAACAAGCGACGTTAAAATAATATGAAATTAAGTTGAAATTTAATTTTGATTAGATTCCCCTTAAAAATTAAAGAGAATGTGCACATTAAACAAATCGTGACAAAACGCCTTTCGATTAAACTGCAAATTCAATTTTGTAATCATCATGTAGTTATAATAATAACAATAATAAAATTGTTTAGTCACGATTCACGAGTCTTTCGCTCGTCTTTCATTCGACAATTACGTTTAGTAACTAGTACCCGATAGATGTCACCACATACAACTTTCGATTTCCAAATCGAAGAGTCGAAGTATTAATAAGTCACGTTTCTTCGAGTGTTCATCGCGAGATTAATTGTTATCTAACGTGTTCATCAACTCGTCCTAGTCGCAGTCGTGGGTTGCGTGATGCAAGCACGCAAGAATCGAGCAATCTATAAACTCGATAAGTTATCCGCCGCCGTGTGCCTCGTGCCCACATGAGTTATATTTCTATATATGTGTGTGTGTATGTGCGTTATGCGCTGCTCTCGCGAGCGGCGAGCCGCCGCATTATGCAACATTACGTAAAGGAAAGGGAAAGTAGACCGCGTCCCGCATTCGGAACTCCTGCCGGCGCGACTCTTCCGGGCCGTGTGTGCGCGCGCGAGCGCTCTCGCAACCGGTACATGACCCACAATATCCGTGCAAAACCGCTCATATCGTAATTATTATAACTACACTCCGCCAAATACAATGTACAGTCATAAATTATCACTCATATTATTTTAGATTAGATTTAATTTTTACACTTGACCTTCAAATTTTACTAGGATTTGGGTGCGATACTAGCGCTACTTAAAAACTTTTTTTTTTCTTTTGCATCTGTACTCCACATTTGAAAGTTTTGATTTTCATCCTGTCGGAATTTAATATTTTTCCTCCTTCCACTTTTAGATTGCCAGTTTTTACACGGGTTTGAGACACAAGAAGTGGAACTTTACATACAGGCGTGACTAAAGTACTTTAGGCGACTTTAGACCGTTTTGCCACTTTATGCTTAATATATTATTATGGCTAAGAATAAAAATGTAATAACAATTAATTTTAAATCAAGTTTAAGTAGATATGAAGTTTATAACATATTTGTAACCTTCACGGTGGAGCATTTTCCGTATAGTATAGCATTTTACTCCCACAGTAGGTATAGTACATAAAAGTAGCCTGACAATTTACACACAATTAAAATTTGTATCTTAATTCTCTCTCCGATGATTTCCGGCATATTAACAGTTATGTATTGATAAAAAGTATTAACAATATGCCATTCCAAGCAATGCCATAATCCACACATCATTTGCTTTGATATTTATTAAGTTTCGTAGTCGTAAATGTAATTATTTTATGTCGTTCAATAATAACTTTATTGTGGCAATTGTGCATTTCCGAAAACGGTTGCATTGTTCAATGACACACGTAGCATAACGCACCTTACAAACTATACTTATCAGACTTGATTAGAAATCGATAATAATTGCTCTGTGGGTTATAAAATATATAAATTTTACCTTCCTCTTTAAGTGAAGCAAAAGTTTATAATTCCCTCACCGGAAGAGGAAGGTTTAGCCTTCAAAATGCGCATTGCGGTATAAATATTTATTTGTGAGATGAAATGACTAAAATTCATATGAGTATCAAATAGAAATAAAAATTATGCATTATACTACAGTTGCAGCTTCCTTACTGCACACTGGTTACTTGTTACTTGTGTTACCTGTAGCAACAATAAACGTTTTATTGCTCGTCCTCCGCCACCGCGTTCTTAGGAAGCCGTAAAAATATATTCGTCGAGATCCTGTTCCTGGAAGCCGGCTTTACGCGACCGCGTAAACACTCAACATACAGGATCTTTTTAATTATATCAATCAAAATAATTCAACATTTTTAATATAAACAGGAAATATTTCAATTAACAGAAAACAGTAAATAACCCTTAATACGCTGTTATGTATACGATTGGTGGCATAAAATTTAATGATAAAATCGTATTCTGGTCATTTATTCCAATTGAGATACTTGGTATATTTTTGTGGCATCGCGACGCGTCTTCAGTACACTCCAGCAAGGTGTGTTTGCATTGGCATGCCTCGACGTTTGCTTTCCTCCTGCTGTGTGCGGGCGTGTGTGTACGTAAAGTTCACCTCGTCGCATATCACATTATGTATTATGTGCGCGCCGATGTTATCTTTGTGTAACCCACACATGGGCAATATGTATGTGGAAATATGTACACATCTTTGCTTTGGTCTCTCGCGCTTGGAACAGGAAACGACGACGCTTGCATTTCGATCAGTTTCAAACGAAACTCCGAGAATCGCGGCCAGGAATGCACGAGATTTCACGACAAATTGTCCAGCAGTTGAGCTTTAATCTGGTGCCGTTGTGCATATTATACTTTTAAATTCTGTATAAATAAGATGATGATTTTTTCCTGGAATGTTTGTGCTGCGCAGAAGTAAGGAAGCGATTATAATGCGTTATTGACATTAAATAAATAAAGATGTTGACGCCGGCGTTGATATTTACATTTATAGAAAGATTACGATTGAAAACAGGTATTTGAATTTGTCTTGTTGGATAGAGTAAACAATATGACATCCGGTTTTGGCGAATAAATTTATTTGTAAACCATATTGTATAATAAGTGTAATCGATGCAGAATGGAACGTGTTAGAAATAAACGATGATTGATTCGTTTAATGCGCGTACGAACATTAAAAACGTTGTAACATTGTAGGCAGGTAAGTGGTTGTGTTGTGCATTTATAAATAAAATGTACGAGTAGAAAAATCCCGTTTCTATGACTTCATGCTTTTCGGAAGAGCAATGCGGTAAATACCAAACAGCAGGCATTTCTGCAAGGTCAGCGTGCAATTAAAAATCAGCTCGTTTTGACACAGGAGTAAAAAAGTAAAAGTAGGAAATATTCACGTTTTCTGCTGAGTTTTTCTTCAGAACATACAGTATAGTAAATTACTTTTACAACATTTAAATAATTATTGTCTCGATAAAGAGTAGGAAAACAAAATTCTTCGATTAAATTACATGATATAAAATATTACACAGCTGAATATGACAGGAAAGCAAAAATTTCAATTTCGATTCAAAAAATAAAGAAAAACATCTGGGAAAATATTAATTTCTTTTTTATTAATTTCACATAAAATTGATAAATATTAACATATCTATCAAAAATTAGATTAGGTACAGGATTTAAGATTAATGATTCAATTAATGATATAAAATTCGTATGATAAATTTATTATACATTACTACAAGACGAATGTGTGTGAATAAATAATCGTTCTAATTCTAAGTCTAATTGTAATGATCACATCGCATGTGTCGGATATTGTGGGATAGTCGCATTACTTTCTCGCCTGTACGCTACTCAAATAGTTATCGTAATATATGTAATACGACGTCGGCGTCGCTCGCTTTATTGGTCTATTGGTATGTGGCTTAAGCCGTTGTTTGTCGTCCGCGGCGCGTATGTAAATGCATACGAGTATGACTCGCATGTGGGTGCCCTCACGCCGCGGCGCTCCTCATGAATAAAACATTTGCCGTCCAGCGTAGCGAGCGAGCGGCTCATATAATATAATAATAATCGACGGCACGACGATACGTAATATTTCTTCTCGGCGAGCGTGTAACTTTTAACGAGGACACGTGCTTCCGTACAAATACGTTCTTTATTGTTTCATATATTCATCTGTTACTTTCAATTTGGTTTAATCTTTGATACTATCAAGAATGATGCATTTACTAAATATTAAAAAAATGCTAAATTGATCGATTTAATAATAAAATACCTACTTTATTAGAATTTAAACATGACTAGCAAAATATAAGCTATAAGACATCATTGAAATTAATGCGAAGGAATGTTGCCTGCGCATTTTTAGTTTTTTTTTTCTGATCATACGCGGTTTTCATTGATTAAGATAAAACTAGTTTATTAATATATTAAATATGCCATGACTAGAATCAACACTCTTTTGCCTTATCGTTAAGGAAGCAAAACGAAGAAAAAAGACTTTAAATTACAGTTAAGTTCATTTGGGAAATTCTTAAGTACCTACTGCTCTACTTTCGATGTTCCTATTAGTAATTAGAAACAATCATAAAGTGTAATCAAATGTGGGATGAACTGATGAACATATTACAGAACTTAACTCTAATTGCAATATTAGTTTTTCTACTCATCATAGAAGGTTATCGTGTGGGACAAACAAAAAGATCAGAATATTAATATTTAATATACTATCATAAGACAACTATTCTAAGTATCTAATTAGCTAATGACCAGACTAAGGACTAGTTTTTCTTAAATTTAGATTAAATTAATTTCTGATGTTATTAGTAACCTAGTGCAAAATTATCACTAAACTCCGGAAAGTCTTCTTCGATTGGTGATGGATAATAGTTGTAATAATACTGCATCTGCAAATAAATTGTTTATAAATAATAAACATATTCAAAAATTAGAAAATTATCCAAATCCAAAGACAAAAAATACTATTTTATTGTCGATGTAGAAAAAATTTATATTTACACTCACGTTTTGGCTATTATTATAATCTCGTAGTAAATCCTGTAGTTTTTGAATATAATCAATGGCGTATTGAAGAGTTTTCACCTTACTGACACGTTTTCCTCTACAAAAGAAAAATGATTAAGAAATGAATCGCTAAAAACCTGTCACATCAATGAATATTTCGAGCCTTATCTCGAATTCTGATCCCTTTTAGAGATTTGTGAAGATGCAGGCTTTTGTCCTCGTGACTGGTTTGCACGACGTCTTTCGTGCTTCTCATCTTACCTGTTGTTCTCGAAGGGGACGGCTTTGCGCAGCCGGACGAAGGCGCCATTGACGGCCTGCACCCGCCGCCGCTCGCGTGCGTTCCTCTTGGCGACGACCTGCGGCGGCTTGTCTCTGTGCGGCACGTGAACATATCTCGCACTATTCGCACTCTTCGCGTGCTCCTGAAGAGCACTGCGACCGTTTGTCTCCCGCAATGGTTGCGCACATTCTTCGAGTTCTTTTGACGATGCGCATGATGAAGATGAAGACGACACCAAAGATGCGATTCTATAACGCGTGTCATCGTCGTCCTCGACAAAGAAGTCTTCGTGCACATGCCACGCCGCACTCGTATACGTCATTTTTATCTTTTATTTATTTGCACTGATTTCGATTTGGCAAGTTTTAAATTACCATTGTGTAAAGTATTGAATTGCACTAAATATTGAAGTTTTTAAAATTTTGGAGAGCTTTGGGTGTCTTGTGACTTGCTTCACCGTTTTGTTTCGACTGAACTATAGCATGAAGAAGGTATCATATCATCAAGTTTTTTTACAATAAATTCAGCCGGCTAAATGGCCCGGGACACCCGCATACACCTGGACGCGTGCAAGGACTGCTGATAGTACTCGTAAATACGAACAACTCCGCCTGTTGGTAATAAGTTATCGACACCTAAACAATGAAGAACACGCATTAACACCGCCGACGCATTATTATTTTCGCTTAAATTTCAGCTGCTCTGGTTTCATCCCTTTTTAAATGCGCGTTGAAAAATGAACGGCGACCACCGGTTTGCCTAAATCAAGTATTGTTCTGTTGGTTTACTGGTTTACTGACAGACTGCCCAACTTTGGAGGCAATAATTAATAATATTCGTTTAGTCATTTTTGGTTGTGTTATCTTTGATAGTTTGCTCATCGTAGGGCGCGTCTAAGATGAAGGCAGATGTGTTTTTTAGGCAGCTAGAATATGCGGATATCATCATGCCTGCGGTGAACCACAATCATAACTTTAAAATTATTGTGGTCTTGACCGAGAATCATGAGTCAAGAAGATTCCCCAGGTGGTTTCGGGAACTGTTGCGCACCTGGTCAACGTTTAATTAGCCTATTGAGTTACTACTTTATTATTAATAATATACGATTTATGCGTAATATACCAACATTATTATTTTTAAACACATCTGAGTTACGTAATATTTTATTTGTTTCAGATATTATTTATTACAATAAACCATTGATTATTACGTGTTTTATTATTTATTTTCATATATTTTGGTAGGCAACCAAACCAACATATAGGTTTAGAGCACTCAAAACGTATTACTAATTATTTATTTCTTTATTTTCAGGTACTCCCCCATAGAAATGAGAGAAGTATCAGATCCAATCACATTTTGGTAAGTCTTTTAGGATTCTTTCTAGGGATATGAATGAATATTATGAAGATATTTATTTGTATTCCTTGTCCAAAGGCGCAAGACAAAAGTATTGTATAACAATAAAAACAATGTACGACAAGCGTATCAAAATAATCAAAAATCAAAGCGAAATTGTGCGACTAAAGGAAAGTGATCCGATCCAACTTTGATATTAGGAATACCTTTGATGTGTTTCGAATTTAAGCCAGCTACAGTAGGTAACTCATAGCGACCAAGACATTTCATTTCCCCCATCAATTTGTCTTTTGTCACTCTATAATTATATTTTTAAAGAAGTAGATTAAGAATATTTATAATAGAAGTTAACTTACGTATGAAACAAATAATCAACTAGTACCCAGTTATCTTGATTAGTCGACACTCCTTCAACAGTTGGATACACAGAGGTAAAATTGAAGCGATGAACTAATTCACCACTTTCAAATAGTCTGAGATCAGCGGATTTTATCGCAGTGTTAATATTGTGTCTTCTGCTTGAATGATGTAATTGTATTAATTCTTCTTCCTCAGACCGTGATAAAGGTACATTCGGATTACTCTTAGCCAAATTTAAATGTCTGCAATCATCTAAAAAGGGTATCATTAAAATTTATGATGTGAAACTTTTAATAAGCTTTTCATTTACTTGTAACACCAAGTTCAGGCGGTAGCCAAGATTTGCCTTGCCTGAGATGGTAAACATTTTGATAGTTAATTAATTGTTTGGTGATGAACTGGTAGACTCCATTCGTTACCGTTGGTGAGGAATTAAAATCGCCACATAAAATAACGGGAACATTTCTTTGTCTACAAATATAAGAGTAAATATTATCAGTTTCAAAAACGTATGTTTTCTCATAATTACTCTTTGTAATCATAAGAAATTCGATTTATTTCGGTCAATAGAACTTGCGTTTGGGCAAGCCGAACATCTTCTCTTTTGGGATTAAATAAAAGATGCGTTGTTGCAACCACAAAAGAACGATTGGAGTTCTTTGGTGAAAATTTTGCAATGAGGCCCACATTATGTCGATCAAGCAGATTTGTTTTTGGTTGAAAGTATTCCACACCATAGAATTCAATCATGTTGAGAGCTTTTGTTTTGTAAAAAATCGCACAGCCATCGGGATAAATGCTATTGGTCCGTTGTTTAAAAATGCCTTCATAGCCTATTGATTTTTAAATTTATTATATATACATTAACAGGCATCATATGAAATTACCTGAGTCATGAAAAACTGATAGTAGTCTACATAATGTGATTCCTGCACTTCTTGCAAACAAATAATCTGTAAATAAAGCATGCAAATGAACTTGGATAGGTATTTCATCAATATTCATACTAACATCAGCATTATGTTCTCTAAATTCATGCTGCAGTGCTTCCCATCTGTAGCCCCATTTTAAATATCTTTCCTTGTGTGTATTTTTGGGGTATAAATACTTGTGGTTATCCAATATTGTCTGAGATAGCACATTGTAGCAAATCAACTTAAATGTAAAACTATTTGGTGGCTCTGGGTTATCTGCCAATTTAATCCACTTTCTTAAGTCTTGTTTTAATTCTAAAAACATTTTATATATAAAAATATTATGTTTTAATAATATCTTACCAATTTGTTGCTTTTCTACTTTCCATTCATCAAGCCTTGGCATTTTGTTATTTCTATCCCTGTCTCTCTGTTGACTGGTAGAAATAGATCTAATACTCTGTTGTGTTGAAGTATACCTGTATGATGAGTAATTATTTAAAATACGTGGTGCATATTGATGGCTCCTACTTTCCTGGTGTCGTACATGATATATCCTATTGATATTAGAATCAGTAGTAAACCCACTTTGTATGGATGATTGAGCACCTAAAAGCACACCAAATATATAAGTAACCAGCATTTTTTAAATGTTTTAAGCAAAATATAATGATTACAATTTGTAACATTTTGTTCATTTGTCAGAGCTTTGTTCTGCTGAATGTCCATAACTAGATTGGTTGTGGTCCGAAATAATGACCTACAGGACCAGCATTTGGTGGAAGAGAGGAATAGATGTGAATTCATCTAAATACATTCCACAGAAAATGCGCTATTTGATAAGATAATTCAGGAGTCCATCTAGGTAAATGTCTTGCACTGCATTGTCATTTTTAAGACTGCTTTAATTTAATGTTCTCAAATAATAAATGTTTCGTTATCACCTTCGTAAATGATAAATGGTAACTGAGATCGCATAATAAAGATCATGCAACTGTTTAAAAGGTTAGATTATTCATCAGGAGAATTAAGTTAATAGGTAAATGTCTGTACGTCTCTTTCAAAATCGAAGTTGGCAACACTGTGCTTTACGTTTATGCCATTTTCGCACCTTAAATTTATCGCTTCAAGGCTTCATTAATCATAGTTGTTAATGGATGATCTAAATATCAGAGAACCTTGTTTGAAAGTTAATACAAGGAATTTGAATGATTTGCAGGTTTTGTCTGATTTGTTTCTTTTTTTGTTTGTTTTAGGGTTTAGCCAGATCAAGAGCCGGTACTAGAATGGTCACAACACACATTGAAAATAAGGTAATTAAGTTTTCTTTGTTATAAATTTCATTTTTCGTTGTACATACAATGTTTTCATTGCTGTTAAATTAAATTTTTTGCGCTTGTCAATTCGGTTCCCCACAGAAAAATGACAGGTTTGGGAAAAACACTGTACGCAATTACAGTTTCCAACAAAAAATAATTCTGACCTCCGCCACTAGATGACGCGAGTAGTTTTACATTACCACTTTCCATTTCGTCACTATTTCCTGTACCGATAGATGGCGCTACACGCCTGTTCAAGTTTATTTCGTTTGCAATTTAGTTTCGGTCAGTAGTTTTTTGATGCGTTGGTGTTGCGCCACTTTCGTCGGTTTTAAAGTTCATTTCTCGTTGAGTGATCGCAATCGCAACTTTTATTAAATGTACTTTTGCTCTTTTCTCTCAATCGCGTCACAATAACATTCAAATTTAATTTTTATTTGTTTGCGGAACACGTAATTTATTGTTAATTTATATATACTTACTTAAATTTGAAAGTGTTACATGGTGTTACAAGTGTTACTTTGTATTTGCATCAAAATTACAAAATTTGGTTCATTTATTTTGAATAAGTACATCCTTGCGACGTCTACATTTGCAAATCATAAATCATAATTTCATGATTTAAATTTTAGGTCACTAGCATGAACTAAAATTCATAAAAGAGAATTGTATTAGTTTGGAAGACAATTCTATTATCAGCGTTTATGTATAAACAACTTTCTTATCGCATTTGCCGTGCGAGATGCTACGCGCAATATTCTCGTCTATCGTCGCGCTGTCGCACATTTTAGTTTAATTCCTATCGCAGGTACTGCGCCTATTGCAATTCGCGCACATGGTAGCGTGCCATCGACGCGCCGCCTGCTTTGCCCAGCTATTACAATTCGCGCATAAGGTCGCGTGCCGGCTTGGCGTACATATCTATTTCTTTTACCTGGGGATTCATGCGGTAAGTGCAGAGTCTTACTGTGAAGTGTCGCATCGTAAATTCAATTCAGAGATGGCACTAGCATGAACTAAAAATCATAAAATAGAATTGTATTCGTTTTGAAGACAAATCTATTATCAGCGTTTGTGTATAAACAACTTTCTTATCGCATTCGCCATGCGAGATGCTACGAGTAAGATTCTCGACGCGCGTTCGCATGCAGCACATTTTAGTTTTGTTCTTATTGCAATAAATACGTGTCTTTGGCAATTCGCGCACAAGGTCGCGTGACATCGACGCGTCGCCGGCTTTGCGCATCTATTGCTTTCTTATCAGATACTGTCGCGTTGTTGCTTGCACAGTTTGCAGCCAGTTTCGTGCCGGTCTCTGATTGATCCAGGCGTATTTTACGCGACTCGTATTGTTGGTCCGGACATCTACTTTCCAAATTCGCATTATTTTCGATCATCAATCCACTATAGTAATGTTATTTACTGTTTGCGCGTATATTATCCATAAATTCCGGTTAAGTGTATCGCCCGCATGTTGATTTGATATTCATCATTAGGATGACCCATCGTGCTGGTGTAAGTAATTTTTAACTAAACAGCACAGATTGTTTGTTTTTCTCTGCTGTGTGATTATAATTAGGGCTTCACACGAGACGAGAGTCTTGTCCTATAATTTATTATATTACTAAACCGTATGCAATACTTTTGTTTTAACTTATGTTTTCTCTTTTTATTTATAGTATTTGCCGTGCCTGGAGTCCATGAGTTTTGCATTGGTAAGTTTATAATTCAATTATATTTCTCGTTTTAATTTCTGCGTCCTCCATTAGTTTGTATTTACGTTGTTTTGATTTATCCCGTTCCACCGCGTGTTGCAAATACATAAGATAGACGCGTACCCGCTAATCTCAAAATTTGTTTGATTTTATTTACTGTATATTTCATAGATGGATGGGATATTTATCAACGTTTGTGTATAAACAAGGTTTTTTGTGTCGCGTTGCAATATGCTCATATCGCAGTAGTTTGGTTTAGTTTTGATCGCATATATCCTAGGAATAAAATTATTTTTAATTATTACCTGGTAGAGAATTATTCAAACTTTAATATTCTTTGTTGCGTTGGCCGCTTGGGATTTTTGGTTAAAAGAGGGCAGCGCTAGAAGTGACTCGTATTCAGGGCACCGTACAAGGGCTGCGGTAGAAGTGACTCGTGTTCAAGGCACCGTACGTTTGCTCATTTTTTCTTATGAATTAGTATTTCATCTTTTATGTATGCATTTTAATAGGCTTATCTTATAGAAAATTTTTCGTAGATTAAGAATTTGAAATCTGTTCGAAAATATCTCTTTTGGTATACAAGATATTTGCAATTTTTACCACTTTTAGTCGCGTTTTTAGACCTTATACCCTATTAAATTAAATTATTTTAAATTTCCATCAGATAGAGGATTCGATCTTCCATAATCTATAATTATCTAGTTGATATCTTTTTCAGTTTAGAAGATATTCACTGTCGAGAATCGTGGAAATAAATTATGAAGCTAATTTCATCTCTTAAATTTCCAATTTATCTAGCTTATTATATAGAGAATTTGTCGTAGATTGCCAATCTACAATCCGTTCCTGTCTATCTCTTTTAGTATCAGTATTTGTTTGTATGTAAACAAGTCTTAGAGTCGCATTTATATCATACTTTACACTTCGCGGAGACGTTTTATTGCATGTTTAGTCTCTGCATTATTTTATCTCGACTTGTACGCAATGTTCTACCTCTTGCTCTCTTCTCTGTTTTTGGAATCACCTTTGAGTTCCAAAGGCCGAGTCACGAGCTAAACTTGAATGCGAATTTGATTTGCTTCGTCGGTCGACTCCCGATTTAAAATAAAATTAATATTGACACCCCTTCCCGCATTTCACCGTAACATCTTGACTAATATAGGTTTGATTTATTTCATTTGTGTACAAAACTGCTATTCGTTTATACTGCAAAATTATTTAAATTTTACCAGACTGAAACTTGATGCAACACTCTTTTCTAGGAGCCACTACTACCGCTACCCTCATACGGTGCCCTACATGGGTGTAACTTCTACCGCTACCTTTGTACGGTGCCCTGAACACGAGTCATTCCACTAAATGGGGGTCTTTATGGATCCTGTAAGAATAATTAATTTAATTTATGTATATGTATACTTCATTTACATAAATATTTTCCAGTTGTTGGATGAATCGTTGGCTAGTATTAATAATATTTATAGTGTTAATAGTATAGCTGTCAGAAAATTTTAAGTAAAAAAAATCAAAATTTTGACAAAAAAAAAATTATTTTTTAATTTTTGTTTTCAACTTAGTTGTTGATAACAATAATATTAGCGTTAGTAATGTTTTTATTGCAACTTTTAGAAGAAATTGTCCGCAGAAAAATAAAAAAATTGCACAAAAAAACGTAAAATTTTAACTTTCAATGAAAATTATGCACTTTTATCAAATATTTTTGAAAATATTAACATGGCTACCGATAAATAAGTTAAACAGCTATCGGAATACATACTTTTAACATTTCTACCCCAAAAATTACCCTGATAGAGCCTATTTTGGTAAAATAATTCAAAAATTCGGAAAAATTCGACTTTTTTTCTTCAAAATCAATTTTAAACGCGTTACGATAAATTTTTCTGCTATAATCTTAGAGATATTGTTAGATACAATAATTATCTACCAACTAATACTTCGATAATAATTCTACCATTAAAATTACACCCTCAATGGCCGTTTTAATTATCAAAAAATAAGTTTTTTACCACAAAACTTACAATTTCCATCATTATAAACAAATTACCGCCGTATTAACAACAAGTAAAAACAAAATCACTACATAAGTCGATAGATAATTTAATTAACTATCTAAAACACCTTTTATAAATAATCTAACCCCAAAATTACAATCTCTACAACAATTTACCCACAAAAAAAAAAAACTAATTTTTCAAAAAAACAATATTTCCAAGCAATACCCCGACAAACACGCTATGAAAAGTGAAAAGTGGTAACAATTCACATACACGCCTGTCACTCCATTTGTCTTTCACTTTTTTCAACGATTCCATCTTTCCATCGTTATTATCTCACATCTCAACTTACTCAACTTGAATCAACCCACCGTCATAAACTCAAATAAACTCGCATCTCTCCGCTACAGTTCTACAATTAGTTACGCAACTAATTACACACAGTTCGTACATATAGTATAAATACAGACGAAATTCGGTGCCCAAACTCAATTCCACTCATATTTTTTTTCTTCCACCTGCTTTCGATTATTTAATCGACTCGTTACGTACCTTCAATTTTCTACACCGCGCGCGCGCAAACCCAAATGTAATTTAATAGGTCACTGCCCAGCGTAAACACCAAAAACGACTTAAGTCATGTGTTACTAACCAGAAATGAGACAAAAAGTAATCAATCAAATAAATCGATGTGAGTTGTCTAAGTTAAAGCCAAGTTATCAACTTCCTCGCATGAATCTGACTTTACACAATTTGACATTTGCAATCATAACTTAATTATACCTTTTGATGACTTGATTTGCGGCTCGATCCCGCCGGAAATTATGCAAAATATCCATTTAATCATTATGCTTACGCAATAATAGAAATACTTTTTGTTTTTTTTGAATTTATAATTTGAATGTCGGGCAGTCGTGCGTTTATCTTCCTTCTAGCCATCTTCCTTTCTTCTGTTATTTTTTAACTTCAATTTCTGACATAATATGATGCGGGTTGGCAATCAAAGGCGAAGCGGAAGTCGGCTGTGCTTGACGCAATCGCATGGCGCGCGGATTTTCTATGCGCAAAGAGAAAATAGAAGAATATCATAAAATACCCTTCGCGTGCGCGTATTTCGATTAATGCATTCTAGTTCTGCGCGCCGAGCGCTTTGTTAGTGGTGAAGTAAAGTAGTAAAGTAAAGTGACTTCCGGTTGCCATGTTGGCGAGTGCTGTGCGGTGCGCGCGCGCGACAGAAACATTAAGTTAGCGCTTCCTTTTGTTTTCATCGCGGTGCGCGAGGCTTTCAATTACTTTCATGACTCATTCATCATTCATTTACGTTTTAATAGTAATAATAATCAACTGATGGTTTTAATGCTTTGTGATTTATTATTTATAAGTTTTTTATTGTGAGTTTATGGTTGTAGGCTGTAAAAGTTGGAAGTTTAGTTTTATAAGAGGATTATTATATTATTAGATAGTTAATGTATAAAATCATTATTAATATTTTCGGAAATCTTTTTATTCACGGATAAAAATTGCTTTCTAAGAGAAATTTAGATTAATTTTTGAGAAAAAACGTAATAATTTTAAGTTTAAGTAAAATTATGCACTTTTATCAAATATTTTATGATAATATTAATATTACTACCGATAAATAAGTTAAATAGCTACAAGAAAATATTCTGTTAACATTTCTAGCCCTAAAATTACCCCTGATAGAACAATTTTTATAAAATAAATCAAAAATTTGCAAAAAAAAAACAACAAATTTTTCAGTTTTTACAAGTGAAATTTTAGGTGTAGAAATGTTAACAGCATACCATCTTATAGCTATTTAACTTATTTATCCGTAGCAATGTTAATATTTGCAAAAAATATTGGAGAAATGTACATAAATTTAATTTAAAATTAAAGTTTTACGTTTTTTAGCAAAATTTTTATTTTTCTGCACACAATTTCTTCTAAAAGTGGTAATAAATACATCACTAAAGATAATAATAATGTTATTTGCCATTTATTGAATAGCTGATTAAATTATTTATCACAGGATATCAATATATTATCATAAAATAATCGATATAATCAAAAAATCGCGTTCAAAGACAAAATTTCACTTTTTCGACAATTCTGCCAAAATTTCTCTTTAGTTTTTGATCTGTAACGACTACAATTTTAGAGATAGAAAAGTTCTAAGAACTCCATTGTATAGCTGTTTAAATTGTCCATCTCATCTACTATCAAAACCCCCAAAATATTATCAATAACCTTAAAAAATCTTAACTCAAAACTAAAATTTATCCTTTTTTACTCATAGGTTATGTCCGCATTATTGGCAGTGGCCTGCGGAAGGCCCGAACCCCCAATCAGCGGCGGCGGCGGCAGTGGTTACAGCTACAATGCACCGAGTGCACCAAGCAACAGTTACGCCCCACCCAGCGGTAGTTACGGCGGCCCGCAGCCGCAATACGGCGCGCCACCACAACAACCCACCGTGCACAAACACGTCTACGTTCACGTGCCGCCCCCAGAGCAAGAGTACCACGCACCACGCAAACCAATTCAAGTAGCCGCCCCTCAGAAACACTATAAAATTATCTTCATCAAGGTAAACACCGAAATTATTCCCGTTTTCTTTTTGAAACAAAAATTTACGATTATTTAATTTATTTGTTTATTTAGGCCCCAGCACCACCAGCGCCAACCGCGCCAGTCATCCCTCTGCAACCACAGAACGAAGAGAAGACTTTGGTCTACGTTTTGGTGAAGAAACCGGAGGAAGCGCCAGAGATTAACATTCCTACACCAGCGCCAACGCAGCCGAGCAAACCGGAAGTTTACTTCATTCGTTACAAGACACAGGTAAGTCACAGAAACAATATTTTGCTTTTTTAGTAATAAAATCTAAACTATTAAGGGTAGAAAATTGATCAAAGACTTAAATCAAAGCTAACTAAATTATCTTAATTCTTAAATAATAAAAATTTTATGTTTTTGTTTGAAACATCCCTTAAAATTGATTCAAAGTCAAAATTTAAAAAAATTTAAAAAGAGAAGAAAATACTATGATTTTTGTTAGTTTTTGGGACATAAAAGTTATAATTTTAGGGGTAGAATATTGATAAGCACATTTTCTGATAACTACTTAAATTATCTATCAATATCCATATAAATGGTTAACAAAATTGTTTAAAAAACAATCAATATCATCCATAAAAGTCAAATTTGATTTTTTTCCTAAATTTTGCTAAAATTTGAAATTCATCATTTTTTTACCTCTATTTTCTGCAATTTTCAAGATAAACTGATAAACAACCCTTCATTTGACAGCCAATTAAATTATCTATCAATATCCTAAAGAAAATTTTAAGAAATAGTTTGACAAATTAGAAAAATTTTAAATCAAAAATCAAATTTATACTATTTTCAGCCCAATTTTCAACCACGTTTTTCTTCACATTTTAACCTATAACTCATATAATTTTAAGGTTAGAAACCTAACCAACACCTCGAATTAAACCTAATTAAATTATCTATCAAACCCTAACCTACATTTTTTAAAATATTTTATAAAACTATCAAAATCTTCTATCAAAAATTTTTTTTTACCTATTTTCACCAATTTTCAACTATTTTTGTTTTTCTTTACATTTTCACCCATAACTCTTATAATTTTAAGGTTAGAACCCCAACCAACCCCTCAAATTAAACCTAAATAAATTATCTATCAAACCATATTGATTTACCCCCAAAAAACATAACCTAACCCTAAAATATTTCCAATTTTCTTCCCCAGAAACAAGAAGGTGGTTACCAAGCATCCGGCGTCCCCGAAAGCCAATACGGCGCGCCGGCAGCGCCCCCAAGCAGCGAATACGGCGCCCCATCCAGCGGCGGCTACTAAACACCCCCGCCGCCAGATCACACGCCCACGCCCACACATCAACAACCATTCGACGCTCGCCCCCTCTCACACAGGCGGCGACACTTGTACAGTCACATTTTATATATTATTGTTTACGTTTAATCTCTGTTCTAATTATAACCTAAACACTCGTGTTTTACTCTAAGCTATGATTCATTTGTTTCGCCTCTTCGAACGAACACATATAGCCCCTAAATAAGTAACATATGTAAACGTACTTAATGTTAATACGAACAAAGAAAAAAACGGTGATATAATTAAGTAAATCTTATACAAGAGCTTTATACAAAATACGATGTAAGACGTACGGATAGAATTTTATTAATGTTGTATTTAAGAAGTTAGCAAGTATGTATTGAACACACATTCATTCGTCTACACGCAACACACATCTACATATCCATCACATATTATCACACGGCGCGTAAGCCCAGGCGACGTGGTTATTTTTACTATGATACGTACTTATGCTTGCATATTTTATACATATATGAATTGATGAATAAATGAATATGATTATAATTGTTTTTGTTTTTTGGTTGAGTTTGAGGTTAGTTTTAAGTAACTTCTAGGTTAGTTGGGGTTATAAAATAAAAACTGTGTGATAGTAAAATTAATAATCTTTTGATTGAAGAAGTAATATTGAAGATAGCTTAATTTATTTAAAAGATACAGAGAGTTTAGTAAAACATGTTTTTTTTTTACGTTTCGAGCCTGTGGTAAAGTTTAATGTCAATTTTGAGGCATTTGTAAAAAGAATATTTTAATGAATTAATGATAATATGATAAAGTAACTAATAGTCTATCATTATCAGCCAAAATATTTGAAATAACTTAATTTGTTTAAAAGATACAAAGCGTTTTGTAAAATATGTTTTTTGATATTTTTAAATTTTTGGTGAAGTTTAACCTCAAATTTGAGGCATTTCTAAAGAGAATATTAATATCTAACAATAATAATATGATAGAGTAACTAATAATCTATCATTGACAGTCAAAATATTTGAAATAACTTAATTTGTTTCAAAGATACAGAGCGTTTTGTAAAACATGTTTTTGAAACTTTTAAATTTTTGTTAATGTTTAACCTCAATTTTGAGGCATTTCTAACAAGAATATTATTATCATTCAAAGACAATAAGATAAAGTAACTAATAATCTATCATTATCAGTAAAAATATTTGGATTAACTTAATTTGTTTAAAAGATACAGAGAGTTTAGTAAAACTTGTTTTGATGAATTGTTATATTTTTGGTGAAGTTTAACCTCAATTTTGAGACAGTTCTAAATGTGATATAATTCTGGAATAAAGATAATAGATAAAACAGCTAATAAGCTATCATTATCATAAAAAATAATTGAAATAATATCAGTTGTTAGAAAGTTACAAGGTGTTTCCCAAATCCATTTTTTATTTTGAAAATTCCTATTAATACCAAGGTTTAACCGAAGATTTGAAGCACTTCCACTATAAATACAAAAATTATAATATAGAGACTACTAGTAAATTTAATATACTTTCAGATACCGAAATAATAATTAAAATCGGCTAATTATTTTGTAAACTACAGAGAGTTTAGCAAACCGTGTCTATCACAAACAATTTTTTCCAACCAGAAATAAACTGAACTTTAAATTAAAATTATTCCTACTTAATCTCCCACAAAATCAAGTTATCGACATAATTATTAATAAAAATTTAATTATCTACTATTTTCTGCATAAAAAAAACAGTTAAACCACAAAAATATCACGATTTAACTAAAATATTGATTGCGCTGCCTGTGTTATGCAACTTCTAACACACCACACCGCAACTAACACTTTCAATGTGTTCATGTTCATGATAAAAGCCCAAATGTCATCTTGAAATTCAGCCAAAACACCAAATACACTACAAATAAATGCTGTGATACATTTCTAACGTATTCATTCCACTAATTCTCATCACGCGATGGATTCCAAAGACATTGTGCCCAAAGATTTATACCGCGATACGCCAGTGCGATATCTCGGTAAGTAATCAGCACATACACGATAACAAACGCATAACCTTTGCTTGTTATGATTACATAACAAACAAACAAACATTAATACTACCAGTATTACTATTAATATCAAATATGAAATAAAACAAATGATTTTCATTTTTAAGGTTATGCGAACGAAGTCGGCGAAGCATTTCGTGCAATAATCGGCAGTAAATTAGTCCTAGCCTCATACGGCGTCGCAGTTCTATACGTATGCGCTGATACAACAGATAAAACAATAAAAACTCACCAGGTAAGCTGATAACACCCCTCAAACTGCATTAAAATAAAGATGAAATTCAAACGACGCGCACTCCAACACCAAGGTTACTACTCTGCTCCTCACGCGTCAATTTTATGCTCACTCATGCATTCACTATATGCAACCCAACACACACCACAAATTCAAAATATACACACTGTCCATAGAATAAAACAAATAAATAATAAATTAATATAAAATAACTTACAGGAAAAATCCAACGCACCTAATCGCATCATCCAAACATCATTCACAGCAGCAGATACACTCATCTGGCAAATGTTGGCATCTGTAGCTATACCAGGCTACACCATCAATCGCATCTGTGCTGGTTCGATGTGGTTCATGAAAAAAAACAAAGCAATGAGTAAAATAAACAAAGCACCACGTAATATGATAGTTGCAGGTATAGGACTAGCTGTGATTCCACTCATTATCCATCCTATTGATCATTTTGTTGATGTTTTAATGGACAAAACACTTAGACACTATCGACCACAATGAAAACTCTGTCAAAATCAGTTGTTATTAGTGTTAAACATAGTTTATGTATAAAATAAACATTAAAAACATAAATTACAATAAATATCATGCTTTTTATACTTACTTTAAAGCTTAAAACATGATTTTAACACTTTTAAACGTTAATGATCATCATGTGAATAGAAATTTATTTGAGGTTAAAATTACTTCAATATACACATTGGTTGATAATGTGACAATATGTAAATTATTTTTAGTAATATTAACATCATTAGAGTGTTTATCGCCTTCTAAGTCTATCACAATCATTTAGATGATTGTATTGCTTGAGAGCATGTTCGTAATATTTAACAATTCTGTTTTTATCGTAAGGTGGCGCTTCACAGTCACTTCCGTCGCTTCCTTCAATGTAATCATCGTTTTCCGGGTAGGAGGGTATCTCATACTTGCATTTCCTTAATCTGTATTGCTAAAAACACAAAATTTTATCATAAAAACTCATAAAAAACGTTTTTTTGATAAAAATAGGTTAAATTAGGTTATGTACAGGTTACTTACTCTTATTTTGGCTTTAATCATACACAGAATACTACTGAAACCAATTTTGCAGTTTAGTAATTGATAAAAACCTAAAACCACCAACGTAATGGCGCTGGAGAAGAAAATCAAGTTAATCCACGACATAATCGGCGACATTTTGTTAAATTCCTCTTAAAATAATGATAAATGCACGTGAAATGTACGAAGAATTTAGTTCTAACTGACTGACAGTTAAAATTTCCTCACATAACAAAATGGCCGCCACGCAACGCCGAAAACAAAAACATTGTTGAAATGTATTTATTTTTTACAAATTGCAAAGGCACAAATCTCAAAATGAACAAACGCGGATATTGTTATTACATAATTACATTGTTTATCATCAAAACAACCGAAAACGCAGTCAAATCATACCAATAATCATAAACCTGCCATTTCACAACGATATTTATACATCAACATTGGTTTAATTTCAAAAAGTTCTTACTTTTATAGTTTTATCAACGATGTGTTTAATGTGAGTCAGTGTGAGTGAAAGATGACATCGACGACAAGATGGCGTCGCGTTTCGTAATGGCGTCCTCGATGACGAAATGAGCACTCTACAACTACATATTACATAATATTATAATCGAGTTGAGTGTAAAACACAAAAACAGAAAAAAACAAAGAAATCATCAAACGGCGTCAACTGCGCATGCGCACTAAGTATATCATCAAATCTAACAAACAAACGCAACGAAAAGGAACGAACAACCGTAGGCTACCCACCTAACACGCAATACAAGCGTATCATCATTTCATTTTCTTAAATTTTCAAATTTTTCAATTCAATTCACTATCACGGTTTTGAACAACTACAAAATAATTTCCTAATTAATTAATTAACATTATTGCGTCATGATGCATCATCTAAAATTGCTTTACGTGTAATTAATCTAATGAATTAGGCTTCAACGTGCATAACCTCACAAATCATTCCACGGATGGCATCGTTGAATCTAAAACTTAACCGCTATCAAAACAATAAACACAACTAAAAACTAAAACCTAAATCTAACCTAACTTTGCTTGTTTTCGCTTTATTTTAAACGTCAATCATCATCAACAATAAGCTGTGCCTGTGCATAACCTCAACAACTCCAACAACTTATGCGCTAGTTCAGTCCATCATCATCTTCATCGTGTTTTCATGTCTTTTCACACTAAAAATATGCTTCTTAAGTAACATAACCAACAATTCATGTAAGTGTATATGAGTGTGTCGTGTTGTCAACAACTAACAATATGTACGTTTGAACTTTGTAGGTTATTTTTGGTTTTTCTGGTTTTTTTCAACGTAGAAAACCAACATTACATCACACTGCAACATACAGCGCGGTATGGAAGTCCGCCATGTTTAGGTAAAGTACCATTACGCTTCCTCTCCTCAATTTCCGCTTTTATAAGCTTAAAATCTTCATTCTTTCCATACATACTCTCGTAAACCTCCAGAGATGCCTCAATTTGTTTCTGTTTCTCTGTTGTGGCGTCCCCCATAACCTCAATATGATTATTTGAGGTTATATCAGTTGTAACCTCTAAATCATCCCAGCACTCAAGCAAATCTTCATCCTCAAAGCTTGATTCCGGCGTTAAACTCCACGATTCTTTTATATTCGCATTGGAAGTGGTTATAACCTCACTTATTTCTTTCAATATGGTCCGTGGACTCTTTAGCAGTTCAATCTCGGGCGTAGTCTCCCTGGTGCGCACCATCCAGTCCTTCACCGCCTGGGTGATGGGATACTCGTCCTTCCGGCCTCCGTGGGTGCTAATCCCAGGGTCCTCGTGGAGGCTGGCAAGGTCTAAAAAAGAACCGGTGGTTGCGGGTACCTCAGCGCCATTCCCCGGTCGTTTAGCCTTGAAAATATTCGTCGTCTTAGTCAAAATCGTAGTCAAATCATCTTCCTTGCCTGTTTTGGTTGTATTATCAACAAATGATGTCATGGATTTAAAGAAGCCATCATTCATCGCTGTGATATTCAATGATTTGATCTTTTCTTCGAGTGATGTGAACATACCACGTTGGATTATTTTATCCAGCTCTTCAGACACTTCCAGATTAGTTCGTTCTTCCTCCAATAGGGAATCGGTGAGTAAAAAGTTATAAGATGATTCATCTACAACAGAAGCAGAGGTTGAAGGTGTATTCGGCATTGAAATTGGTGGTGTTAATGTCGAATCTAAGGTTAGACTTGGTTTCTTTGGTGTTTTCTTCTTTTTCTTCTTCTTATTTTTATCCGGCGACTCATCCTGTGTGACATTCAGCTGTATAACTGGTTGCATACAGTCAGTCAACGTTTCATGTGTTTTTTCATGTTTAACCTCTGAAATAACTTCTACAACTTCAGTTTCTTTTGATATGTCAACCTTTTGTGTTGTTTTAGATTTGGATTTCTTTGTTTTCTTAATATTAGGCTTTGTATCCTCATCATCTTTGATTTCGGTGATAGTTAAAGGTAGTACTTCCTCCACACCGACATCTGTGATCATCACACGCTTATTAACAACCGGTTTCTTCTTTTGGGGAGTTTTCGCTTCCAATTCTTCTAAGGTACGTATGAGTTTATCAAACTCTTCCTCCTCAGCGGCTTTGTGATCTAATTGATCAATTTCTTTAGGTGTTTCTTCAATAACTGCAATAGTTTCAACAATATCTTCAACAACATCAGGTACGGATGTATTATTGTCCGTTTCGGGACGTACCACAACGACATCTTCCAGTTTCGACACGTCATAAGCTTCAAAACCATCACCATCAATATTCATGGGTATCTTAACCTCAAAATCAGTTTTATTATTAGTATTATTAGTATTTAAGTCTTCTTCATCGTCCCAATCACATTGTTTGTTATTCTTTCGTTTTTTACGTGATTGAACCGAAATCCATTGACTTTGACTTTGATTTGTTGCAGGTACCATCACTTTAGAGGTGTGTTTGTGAGAAGATGTAGTTATGCAAGGAGTCTGACTAGATGTCGCCACAGTGCTTATATTATTGTTATCTTTAGCAGGAGAAGCATATTTCTTCATTGGGCTGGTACCAGCTGACTTCTTCGATAGCATCTGTGCGTAGTTCTTACCAGAAGATACATTTGATGCAGGAGTTGATGTAAAATTATCTTTCGTTGATTTAACCTCACTTTGTGTGGGTTGTGTGGGTTGTGTGGGTTTAGAGGTATTGGTACGTTGGTAATTACGTCGGGATCTAGGTGTGCCCATTCGGGAGGTACCATTGGTGGTGGTACCACTGCGTCTTTGCTCCTTGGCTGCTTCTTCTAACTTGGAAACAATTTTGGCTATGTCAATGGGTTTGTTAAGTACCTTGACTTCGTTGACCAGTGATGTTGAAGGTAATACCACTTCGGGAGTGGGGGAAGGTACCACAATTGTGTTATTATCATTTCCGGATGTATTTCCGGTTTTTGGTTGTTTTTGTTGTGGTTGTGATGTTGAAGGTATCACAGAAGTAGTAACTTCTTTGTTTGATTCTTCTTGTATATCTATGTCTTGACTTGATGGTACCATCTTGGTTGTAGTTGATGATGATACTGGTGGTTGTTGTGGTAGTGGTGGGGGTAGTAGATGCATGTGAGGTGCTGGTAGGAATGAAGGCGGCAGTGGTATCAAATTGGTTATAAACTGTGGCTGTGGATGGCGATGTTGATGGTGTGCCTGATGGTGTGGTTGATGAGGTTGATGGAAGAACCGTGGGATGAATTCTTTGGCGTCTGCTTTAAGTACTTTCTTCACATTTACATTCACATTGGTAACGGGTGTACCATTAGTTGATTCTGTTTCTTCAAGTGTACCTTCAACTGCTTCTGGTATGCCTTCGTTATTCTTGACTTCAACCTCAACCTTAACCTCTACATCCAACATAACCTCAATTTCTTTACTCTTTTCTTCTTTTTCTTCTTCTTTTTCTTTATTTTCTTCTTTTGGCTCTAATTCTGTTGTTTGTGTATTGTGGTTTGTTTCTTTCTCTTCACTGTTGGTGGTGTTGCTTGCTGGTGAGTCAGCTGTAACTGGTCTGTGCCTGTGGGTACCCTGAATAATCCGATTCTCAATCTCGCTGACCATCTCCTCGGACTCGTCGTAATCGTCTGAGGAGGAGGTGGTCCAGTTGTCCTCGACTGGTTTGGATAGTTTTCGGCGGCGGCGCTTTTTGATCTTGCGGGGTTCACCATGAGATATCTCCATTTCTGTAAAACCGAATGCAGATATAGGTTAGGTATGTTTTCTGTGTTTATATGCAAATTAAATTAATAATTACTCGGAAAGTATTAGTGATAAACAAGTGGAACAAACGTCAAATTGTTGCTTAATTAAGTGGGTGTTACTATGGATATTGGGGTTTTGTTTTAAGCCTTCTATTATTATTAAAAATTGAGAAAATGTTTGAAAAAAGTTTAAAAGTTGGAAATTTTGGGTGGATTTTTTGCTTAAATTGTTAATAACTTTTGAGGTGTTGGTGTGATATTATTAGTAATAGTATCAAATTAACCACAATTAAATTCTCTATCGATTGATTTTTGATAATATACTATAATTTATATTAGGGTTATCCTAGATAAAAATAAGGTTATGCATCAGATATACTTTTGTTGCTCCAACTTCAAATAAGAATAACTGGTAAACTATAAGTGATAAACTAATGAAACAAACGCCAAAATGTTGCTAAACTAACCAGCAATCATCCTAAATAATAACATTTTCTTTAAAACTATCAGTAATCATTAAAAACCTAAAAAATTCTGAAGAAAAACTAGAAAATCGTTAAAATTTTGATGAAATTTGAACTTAAATTGTTAATAACTTTGAAACTACTAATGTTATATTATTGATAATAATATCGAATTAACCGCAATAAAATTCCCTATCAATTGATAATATAACATCCCACAATTAGTTTTTCTATAACGCGCAAACTCAAATATAAATTAGGTTAGGTATTTTATGCACTTTTGTTGCACCTTTTTTAAACAACAATAACTAGCAAACTAAAAGTGATAAACAAATGAAACAAACGCCAAATTATGCCTAATTTAACCAACTATCACCCTAAATAACAATACTTAGTTTAAAACCATCTAAAATTACGAAAAACGCAAAAAATTCTTCAAAAAAAACTAAAAACCCTCAAAATTTCATAAAACCCCAACTTAAATTATTAATAACTTTTAAACCATCAACAACAAATCACTAATTTAACCACCAAATAATCCATAATTAAATTCCCAATCACCTGATACATTAATACAGTGGCTTATAGCTAGACACAGGCAAATATCTAAAAATATCCGCTGACATCTTGAAATCAAAGATTTCTGTTTTTAATTGCCGCAAGCCGTAGTTCGCGCTCGCCTTGTCAGCGTGCCAGTAGCCGCCGTTCAGTTGCATATTGCTTTCCAGGCCCAAACTCTGGATAGTTGACAGTCTCACCGCCAAGTGGCTTAGCTCCTAGCTGGTTTCCTCATTAATGAGAGAAGTTGATTCAGTCTGCAAATGTTTTCCTTAAATTTTATTTTTTGTTTTAAGTAGCTTCTTTAAAAATGAAAAAACGACACTAAAAGACAAACGTATTCGTTTAAATGGTTAAGCCTACGAGAGAATGAAGACACCAAATATACAGAGTGTTTCCTATTTTCTTCGTTTTCCTCTTTATTACGATGCTTCGTAGCTTGCCACAAGCCACTTGATTCGGAATATTTTTCTGAATCTACTAATATTATAAATGCGAGAGTCCTGATGTTTTGTTACACTTTCACGCAAAAACTACTTAATCGATCATCGCGAAAATTTGTACATATTCTTAGTAGTCCCCGAATAGTTTATAGGCTACTTTTATTTAATAAAAAATTATTTTTTAAAATAAAATAAAGAAATAGTTTAGCCAATAATACCTCTGCATCACAGCTCTTTGACTACTTTAACGCTATCTAATTCCAGCAGTAAGCTCAAACCTAAGTACTATAGTACCGTACACTGTATTATCACATAGCCTTACCAACAACTACGTCAACATCAAATCCAATTGACTACACTGTGGAGACTGCCGCACTATACTTTACATAGACTGTATACTTTCAGCCATTTAAACTTCCCGCCATTCCTAACCATTATTTACTTCTTCTGTGACTACAGACGCGTACGGAAACAACTTCATTAGTACCCCAGATATTCGCGAGAGCAGAAACCAAGAGGTTAAAGAAAACTAGTATTAAATAATTTTACACCTAGATTCAATATTATAATAAATAAACCCTATGATTATATCACTCCTGATGCCTATTTCGTCTTATTCTCTCATGGTATGGTAGTATTCTGGAAGGTTTCACTTCTCTCGTTTGATTTTTTTGTTTTGTTTTGAGGTTATGTTGGGGTTACTTACGAGTGATCCTGTGTAGCCAGGCGTTTTGGATCGTGTTGATGACACGTATTCCGGATAACACATTGGTGGATTGCTTGAACAACCAGGGGATAAGGTTCCAAAACCTGTCAATATATTGTCAGTATTTAGTATTATTGGGAGGGTATATTTGAGGGTTATGACTTACTGTTGACATAGCAGTAGATTCCGTTTTGATCGACAGAAGTATTGGGAGACAAACTGCGACTCGTATTCCAAGGCCGGTGCCTTCCGTTCCATCTGAAAATTTTAAAAAATAATAAGAATTAAATCCGTTACATTTTTATGCGATAACTTTTTTAGTTTTAATGTTAGAGTGATGATTTAAAGGGATTGGAAATGTAGAGAATTTAATTAGTGTAATAGACTTATAAGTTAAGTTATATTTGTGGTTGTTGTTGGCGTACCAGCTGACTGGTGATCCGGCGTGCCTGCCGTTGCCGGTGGAGTTACTTACAATGGAAATGGGTGGAGGCGCCGGTCGATGTTTGCGTTTGGTAGGCTTTCGGCTTGCTCAGGTAACCCTTCTTGAATAGTACGTCTTGTCGAGGAGTCGTAATTCGCGTATATTCATCTGGAAATTGATAAAATAAAAAATTAAACTTTTATCAAAGATGAAACTTTTTTAACTTTAAAGACGAATAACTTTTAAACTAATAATTATATTTATGTTACATAAAAGTAGACATGTTGGGAATTTAATTGTTTATATAGTGAAGTTTAAAATTTGTTGTTATCATTGTTAGTTATTTATTTATAACAAAAATAAGCAAGTAAATCATGTTGGCAGAAAAATAATAAAATTAAAATGGAATTTTAATGCCTTGTAAGTCAAAAACTGCAATTTGTAATTACATCAAACAAAAAGCATGTAATGGAGAATTTAATCAGTTATATTAATGTTTTTAAATAAAATGATTAAAATTTTTAGTTTAAAAGTTATTGAAAAAAACAACAAAAAATCAAAATTTCAATTTTGTGACTAACAGAAATCAAAGAATCAACTTTGAAGTCAAATAACTAACAAACCATATTTTATAATTCAATCAAACAAAAACCAAATTAAAGACAATTTAACTATACTTAATCTCCACTTTAAATAATTTATTTATAATTATTAGTTTAAAAGTTACACTCAAAATAGTAAAAAAAATCAAATTTTCACTTTTAAACAAAAAATAATCCAAAACGCAATTTTAAAACTCAATAACTTTTAAACTAATCCAAACTCACTAATAATTTAAAAACCATCAAATAAACAATTTATTCGCCTACAATAAAAACCTTTCCCCACATTTCTACCACGTGCCATACGCAAGCAATCAAGAAAAAACTAAAAATACCCTCAACTGAAACTAAAGTTAGATAACCGTGTTTAAAACCGTGTGAAACTTAAACAAGCAAACAAATGAGTCAAACGACCCGTCACCTCACTCAACACACATTCAAACAATAACATACATCAGCATCACCATCAACATCAAACCACACTCATTGTATTTATAAAACCCAAGAAGTATACTCGTATACTATACTTTTAAATATAATCATAATTACCTTCGTTAAAAGTAATTTTCCCATCCGAGTTCGTGCCCCCAGTTGCACTTCCAATCCCATTACTTCCGGTCGACTGGGGCGTCGTTTTCGTATCGTCGTCCTTCCTGCACTCCGCCGCCTGCGAGTGATGGTTGTGGTGGTAGTGATGCGGATGATGTCCGAATCGTCCACGCGGTGCGCCACCTTGACTACTGTAGGCGTATTTTGTATTAGGACCACTGCCACTGATGGTAGTAGCTGTATTGCCGCCATTTGCAGAGCGGTATGAGCGATAGACGCCGCCATAGTGCGATGCGGGTTGATAGCCGTTGTAGTGGTGGTTGTGGCCGTGGCTATGATTATTGTACGCGGTTGTCGACGCGTAGGAACTCTGGTAGTGGTAGTTTTTACCGCCGGCGGGGGTGGCAGTGTGTGATTCTTCACTATCACTTTGATTACCTAAAAATAATTTGAAAAATATATTAGTTTTCAGTACTTTAAAGAAAAAAATGAATTTTGAAGTAAATTTAAAGCCATTTCTAAACACCCTGTATAAATAAACTTAATGTATGTTGAAAGATAATTTAATAGGCTACAAAATGAGACTAATTTTGTTAAATTCGCGTGAGTGGTTATTGAATTATTAGTAAAAATATAAACAAAGTGCATTTTTTGGAAAAATCTTAAAAAATCATTTAAAATCAATTTTGAAGTTAATTTTAAGTCATTTAGGTACACCCTGTATATAAAAACTTTATGAATGCGGATAGATAATTTAATAGGCTACAAAATGGCGTTATTTTTGTTTAATTAGCTTAAGTAGTTATTGAGTTATTAATTAAAATAACTAGAAACAACCTAAAAATTGATTTTAAAGTAGTTATTGGAAAACCTACTTTTGTTTACATTTTTATTAATAACTCAATAACCACTGAAGCTAATTAAACAAAAATAGTCTCATTTTGTAGCCTATTAAATTGTCTACAAATATTCATTAAGTAAAAATATACAGGGTGTTTATAAATGGCTTAAAATTAACCTCAAAGTTGAAACTCTTAATTTTGAATAAAAAAATAACAAAAAAAATTATATAAACAATAATTAAAAGTAGTTAATTTTATATTAATTTAAAATTTAAATTTTGTCCAATTCCAATTTATTTCCATAGAAATAATTAATAAACAAATAATTAATCCCAAAATAACATGAAATGCGTCTATTCAAGCATAAAATGCATTATATAATTTTGCACATTCAACATTTTCCCTTCAAAACAATTTATTAATAATACGCGGAACGTGATAACGAGATCAAAGCCCAGCGAGCGGGTTCAACAGTGCATAATACAAAAGTTCAATCGGCTAGACCTCAGCCACAAGAGATCCAAAGATCCAAAGATCATTCATTAAACCAAACTAAACTAAAATAACAACAATCTGTGAATGCATGCATGCTGCGTTTTTTCAATTTATGTAATGATGGAGCACGAGTTTTATTAATTCAAGCAGTCGAGTATTTCGAGTTTATTTTCGAGCAGATAAGATTGTGATAACGCTCGCGTGGTGGTGTAAGTTTGACCCTTAGGATTCGTTGCAGGCCTGCAGTTACAAATTGTGAAATGCGGTCAATGTTGTCGTAAAAATACGAATGCAATAAACAACTCAACAAGTAGGAGTACATTAGTAGTAGTAGTAGTTGTAGTATGTAGTAGTAGTAATGGGGATTGTGGAAAATTTGTTTTATGAGATAGTAAAGTAAAAATCATAAAAATCATTGCATTGATTTTTTTATATACTTTGATAGCGAATATCTCGGGAAATAAAAGTGATAAATAAGAACGGATTGAAGATTCGGAATCTATAGGAAATGAAAACAAATTGACACTATTTTTGTTTAATTAGCTTAAGTGGTTCTTGAGTTATTAACAAAAATGTAAACAAAAACAGATTTTTGTGGAAAATGATTAAAAATTATTGACAATCAACTTTTAGGTTGATTTTAAGCCATTTATATACACCCTATATAATAAATATTGATGAATATTGAAAGAGAATTTAATTGGCTACAAAATAAGACCATGTTTGTTTAATTATCATGAGTAGTTAATGAGTAATTAATAAAAATATCACAAAAATGATTTTTCTTAAAATTTTTGTTTTTAAACATTTTTAAACTTAATTTTCGACAATAATTAACAATATGTAATAATCATGTTATACATAAATCAAAAGGTAATTTAATTGCCAATCCAACAACACCTTCAAATTTTCTCTACCATTATTACTTTGTGTTTAATCTGACAATTTGTAAAACTTGGCAAAACCCGCAATAGTGTCCCAAGTAACTTGTGCACATTTAAATCAAATATTGCAACAAGGTGCGCGTTTACACTTAAAATAAAACAAACGCAACCTTGACACTTTCATAAAATATATTGCATACATACATGATACTGCGAAAATCCCAAATAATCAAATAAGACACATGAAATAGTAATAATAATAATAATAAAAATGAAAAGTGTCTGCCAAGTAGGTACATCTTCTACTATTCATGTATTATATTCGTTTTCAAAGTTAAATTGAGCCAAAACTAAAAGCAATATTATAGTAAATTATAATAGGGATTAAAGTATGTTTAATTAGCTTTCTAATGATAGTATTTGTATTTTTGTGTTGTAAATAGTTTTTGATTTATAAGCGCAAAAGCAAACAATTTCGCGAAAAAAAATTATGGTGGATTTTGTGCATTATTTATTTAAATATTTTTTTAGACCAGATATAAATAATTAATTAAATATTTATTAATATCATATAAAAGACAATTAATTAAGCTTTCTAATGATATTTTTATATATTTTGTATCTTTTATAGTTTTTGAGTTATTCGACTTTTATTAAACAAAACCGAAAAAAAATTATACAAATTTTATTTTTACTGAGTTTATTCTATAAAGAGCAATAAAAAAATACTAAAATTAATACCCAAAGCTCAATACCACCAAAATACATCCCCTGACTCAATAACAACAATAATATTAATAACAATAATTAAAATAAACACATTTCAAGTCCATTTTCGTGAATCCACAAACTCGTGGATTTTCCGCACATGACTTGATCATAAAAATAGCCGCCGTCATTTGCGTCCAATACGTATTTTCTATTTATTCTCTCCACACTCCGGGAGACACATGAGTCTCTCGTCTCGTGTGCGCCTAGCATGTGATCATTGATCATGTGGGGCGCGCTTTTCGGGAGTTTCGCGGCCGCGCGGCGCTTGCATAATTTCGCATGAGATTTCGCGTGACGTCAAATGCGCGAAGAGAATAAAACAAACTGTGAATAGTGCGTGCGGCATAAAAATACTTTGCGTATAAAGTACAAGGTGTAGTGAAATTTTTGGCGCCGACACGGAACACTGAAATAAACGATTCGCTAGTTTTATTTGCGCGAACTTATGTAATCTAAGGTTATAACGAGAGGGGGGTATACCTGCGATCGGCCTCGTGAGGCCTCGCGACACAGTTTCTGAACCGGTCACCCGACTAAAACGATTTTAAAGACGTTATCACGTCAATAAACACATTTCAAGTCCATTTTTCACAATCCCTCACTCGTGGATTTTCCGCACATGACTTGATCACAAAAATAGCCGCCGTCATTTGCGTCCAATACGTATTTTCTATTTATTCTCTCCACACTCCGGGAGACACATGAGTCTCGTCTCGTGTGCGCCTAGCATGTGATCATTGATCATGCAGGGCGCGCGCTTTAGAGTTCGCGGCCGCGCTTGCATAATTTGCTTGAGATTTCGCGTGACGTCAAATGCGCGAAGAGAATAAAACAAACTGCGAATAGTGCGTGCGGCATAAAAATACCCCCGTATAAAATTACAAAGGGTGTAGTGAAATTTTTGGCGCCGACACTGAACACTGAAATAAACGATTCGCTATTTTATTTGCGCGAACTTTATGTAATTGAGGCGCGGACGAACAGGCGTAATCAACTGCTCCAAAGGCAGACAGGTTGACCCCAAAACCAAAAGACGTTAAGTTTTTAGTGTTTAAATATATTTACTTTTAAATAAATATATATAGAAATTAATATGGAAATATGAATTGTTTTGTATTTTACAAGGTGGTTATTGAATTTATTAAATTTTTGTGTTGATTCTTTGTTAATTATGTGAAAACTAATTAAGCTAAGGCAAATAGGAAACTGTTTTTGGATAGTTTATTAAATGGTCTTTCAATTGATGTATAAAGTTGTAATAAAATGTTAATAATTATATTAGAAAATTTAGTTTGAAAATGTTTTTGTGCGATTTTGTTAGAAAAACTCATTTTATGATACTTTTATTAATTACTCAATAACCACTTAGGATAATTGAACGTAAATAAGCTCATTTTGTAGTTTATTAAATTATCTTTCAATATTCATAAAGCTTTAGTATACAGGGTGTATCCAAATGGCTTAAAATTGACGTCTAAGTTGATTTTAAATGATTTTTAACATTTTTCCAAAAATTGAATTTGTTTATATTTTTATTAATAACTGAATAAGGACTCACGTTAATTAAACAAAAATAGTGTCATTTTGTAGCGAAATAAATTATCTTTCAATATTCGTAAAGTTTTATTACACAGGATGTATCTAAATGCCTTAAAATTAATCTAAAAAAAGATTTGAAAAGATTTTTGCACATTTTCATAAAAATTTCATTTTGTTTACGTTTTTGTTAATAACTCAATAACCACTCATGCAAATTAAATCAAAATAGCCACAATTTGTAGCCAATTAAATTATCTTTCAATATTCATCTTCATCTATTATACAGAGTGTATATAAATGGCTTAAAATTAACTTCAAAAATAATTTTACCTAATTTTACCCATTTTCAACAAAAAAACTCATTTTGTTTACTTTTTAATTAATAACTCAATAACCACTCAACCTAATTAAACCCTAATAGGTTCATTTTACAGCCTATTATATTATCTTTCAATATTAATCAAATTATCCTCATTTTTCTATACAGTATGTCCGTAAATAACAAAAAAGTCTCAAAACAATTATCGTCATGCATGCTAAACATACGAGAATTTATGTGAAACACGTATGATGTAGATGTACTCATATCACAATTTGTACATTTTCGTGTTTATTTCACAAACACCGGAAGTAATTGACGTAATAGGTATCACCACACACGCCAATTGCATTCGCACGCATAGTCCACTCATTATAAAACCAACAAAACTTTACATTCTCCATAGAAATGTAATATTTCAGTCAAAAACATAAATTTATTACAATAAACTTCATACAATAAATTTAACTTTTGCAACTTTTAACACTTTCAATGCGTCTGGCAGGATGATAGAACCGACCAAACTGTCTGACGTGCTGGAAAACACAGTTTTATAGCTCTCTGTATAATGTGTATCAAATTCAGCTT